AAATCATGAATAGCAATAAGTACCAAGATAGTTTGAAATCGTACGTCCAACTTGTTCTAAAACCCTCTTTGTTACACAATAAATAAACATCTTTCTTATAAATGACTATTTTTGAACGTTAAGTTCCTATTCTCCATTTTCAATACAGTGAGCAAGACTACTGCTGTTCTTTTCTTCTTTGCGACGCAAACTAGAGTAGTAAGTTCAATTCTTGAATAAAAACTTTTACGATCAAGATCCAGTGGAATCTTAAATACATTATAACGATCAGTTATATATCGATCCAAATGACAGTAGTTTATAAGCTTAGTTCTTGTCAATGAATACAAACTATAGTGAAAACTGAACTGGAAGTCCATGAGCAACATTCACAGTGAACTAATTTATATAATAAAAATTCATCTTTAATCTTGATTTTATTCCTCCTATATTGTACTTGGTGATTCTATATCCTCAACATAAACATTGAAATATGTTACAAAAAATTGCCTACACCTTCAGGGCGAACACAATCATTATTCTTCAATAAATTTTTCATTACATTATAAAAATTTGTACAGATTTCGTTTACATTTAAGAAGCTATTTCAGTATAATCAATTGAAATATTTTATTGTTAACGATCGCCTAAAAAAACCACATCATATAAATATGGACAAAGAATAGTCTTTTTAAGGAATTCTTATCAAATTCTATAATGATGTGTCTAAATTAATAATCCAAAAAGTGGAGACGTTTAAGGTAAGATAAAATGAATTAAGTTATGTCATGTGCTAGAATAAGCCAATATTTTTCAATTATTTTTCGGGTCAGTAATTTTTTTGTCAAACGGTAGAAGCAGTAACAATTCGGATTTAAAAACCAGAGTAAGGTGTACAAAAGAAATATGTTCAACATCTTCTCTTATCTAAGCTAACCTCAGGCTCAATCGATCGATAGTAAACTTAACTATTCAATGACCTAATTCAGGTAATGTAATTATAATCCTTCTTAGTCAAGTACAATTGTGCTTGTTTATTATATTCACATGTTTTCCTATTATTATTATTATTAGCTGTGGTGTTAGCATCACTAGTAGTCCTGAGAATACATGATTAATTTTTTTAAGATGAGAAAGAATACCTTTATATTAGTTTTATTTAATCGGTTATTACTGTACTTTATTCTAAGTAATAATGTTAGATCCCGATAAGCATAATGAATGGTAACTTTTGGGATCCATTATGAACCAATACTATACGTATCTTTTTATCATATAATTGTTATGTAACTAAATTACTCATATCCGTGTCCCATTTATTATGAGCTTTGCTTTGACCTATGAACTAATATTATACCATTTGCCATTCTGAAATTATGCCTTGTCCATTAATTACTACCTCCCTCATTCACAGCTACATTTGGCTAATTCTTGTGCAAATGTTCTTTCATATTTTATTGGTACGATGTGGTCTGTTCGACTGGTATATAAACCCCGTATGTTTGAAATAAATGATTCATATTTCAGAGGCTGAAATCGGTGTTCTGGACTTAACTGGCTGGGCTAGGCAGGAAGCGGGACCAATCAGGACTCCAGACTGCTCTCATGTGTTTTACGCGTCACTGGTTTGATTGATAATTCACTGCTCTTTAATTGGCGGTATCGTTACGTTATACATTAACAGGGCACTCAGGCCACGAGTTATAACAAATAATCACCCATATTAAACAACAAAAGAACTTAAGTATCTGTACATATTTCAAAACTAATAACTATAAAAGTCTAAAGTTTGTAGAGACCATTTATTAAACAGGTAAAAGTCTACTTATGATTCGTTTTTAATATTTGAAAAAAAGTCCTTTATTCAGCAGTATATTGCATAGATTTTTAAGAAGTAGGTATTTTGTGTTGTGTACGATACGCTCATTGTTATCTATAAAAATCATGTACAACTGTGAGAATAATAGTCACTACTTTATATGTAAATTGCACATCTTGTAATATGGAATAATATCACGGTCAAATAAATAAGAAAGTTCATGATTCTTATATCAAAATATATTTCCGTTTAATGACTTTCTTATAAAATGTAGAAATATCCCTTACAATGAACCATAATTCTGTGTTAATTTGTCTGGGTCATTCTTATTGTTTAAAACCTAAAGAACCAATGAAGAAAACTATGAGTATATAAATGACAATCTGTTTAAGAAACATTTATTTAGTATAAATGGACATTATTTTGTTAGTGCATTGAACTTGGTATCAAAAATGATAACTTGTAGCATACATTAAAACATCACACAGTATTAACATGACATAATCTATCTATTGTTTTCTGACTTTATTTATTAGGTCATTTATGTTTGTTGTCAAGATAGATCATAAATTCGTTTTACTAAATATGTGTTCATATCCCTTTTGTCGTGTTAGCCCAAACATCCATAAAACAGATTTAATTTATAAATAAACGCTTTATATTAAATGATAGTTGACTATTAATAATTACAATAATTACAATTAAAATAATGCAAAATGATCGTAATCTGATTCAATTTAAATCACCAAAACAAAAGTCGTAAAATACAAAACGTGAAATATAAAACATTCAATCACTTCTTTGCCGTTAAGTCCATCTCATAACAACTGAAGAACTGTATCAATAACACAATATAGTCTATGTGGAAACCGTTAGTTTCGACCAAGGCTTATATGAAAATGAAACCAACTATAATATCTAGAATTCTAGACGAAATATTCTCAGTAGGTCTAAAACTATGAATAACGAATTAGATAGTATGATCATTTCGTATATATATGAAACTCATTAGTGAGACTTGTTGTCAGACAACGATTTATTCAAAACAAACGAAATAAAACTTGTCCGATTAATTTTAGCTGCTGTAAATATTGACAATATCTAATAAATAAATAATGAAACATCAACGATGGAATTTTAAGACATCAGTCATCCTAAGCATTCTGGGTGACAGAAATATTATCTGTTTTCCGAATGACACAAAGAAGATGAATTATAAAATGCAAGAAACTATTTGATTGAGTAATTGTTTCCTTTTTTCTGTGTTTATTTTCAACGGATTATTCTGGTTATTTTTATATAGTGTTATAAGTAGGGTAATTTCTAGCGCATTCAATATCAATGGTTGAGATCATGAGTCAGTTGAAGCTAGACCACCATGGAAAACCTGGAAGCACTGGACGGCCGTTTTTCGTGGTAGTCTAGCTTCAACTGACTCATGATCTCAACCATTGAAATTACTACAATATCCACAAAACCCCTTCTGACGTTCAATATCATATTTTTAACTATCCTATTTCAAATTATGTTTAATTCAGTAATTAATCTACTGTTCAGCACAGTATCAAAACCAAACGTGTTTTTATTTGCTATTTTCTATATATTGTGGTTTAGCATTTTATATCTACAATCACGTGTTATAAGTCTAAGATATACGAGGTATCTGGATGATTATTCTGGCTTTCTGAAATGTTACTTGAAACAGACAACTTCTGTTTAAAAAGTCTTCAGTCCTACTAAGTACATGCCATAAAACAGTGAAATTATATATTACTAAATTAATCCAATTCATAATAAATTGACATATTCTATGTTTTTACCATAAATGAATAGATGAACAAACTAAATCTTTTCAAAAACAATTAATGTTTAAAACAAACAGATTACAAATAGAATATAAACGCCATTTGTATATAACTCATAAAGAATTTTCGACTAATAAAAAAGCTTTTTTGATTTTATGACAGATCCGTTTATGTCATTAGACTTCAACGCAGAAATCAGTATTTGTTAAGAGAAAATCTGTTTCAGTTTCTTATTCATGTTAGGTAAATCTATGAATTAAAATAAAATAGGTTATATATAAGTGTATCATATAAAATTACTTGTAGTCTGATTTGAAAGTCTCAACTTACATACAGTCGTTTTGTTTAATCTAGCATGTTGTTTACTCTCCAAAAAAAGAAAAGAAAAACAGTGGAAAATGTGTTACATTCATTAATTTTCTTATCATATACACGCTGTAGTGAACAAAACACGAGTGGGGACAATCGAATGTATTTAACACAAAGTTACAGGACTTGTTAATAAAATCTAACAATCATAAAGTAAATGCTTAATTTGCAAAATGTCCACCATTTGTCTCAAAACGACTCAGACTTTACTGTTCTCGCATTTTCATAAAAATTGCATCCTATTTCCATTTTTTACTGTCCGATCTTCTTGTCTCTCTGCTTCCAGACCTTTTGTGCACGATTAACATCATATACTACTTATGCTAATATAAGTAGCACACAACACAACGCTAACTAACTAGCTAAAATATATATTTACAGTGAAGGATAAATATAACGTTATAGTTACATTACAAAATATCATTCGTAAGTAAATGTATTAATTAACCAGATAAGAAAATGTTGAGCTGCTTGTAAAATTTATAACGTACACTGTAGTATCGGAATTACTTTCAATTTTAAATAAAAGTTCACTTTTTATTCGTAAACATTAAGTTTAATACACAAAAGCACTATTAACTGAATGTTGATTTTGACGGATTGGTAACAAGTCAACTGATCTATACCGGTTTAGACTCTTTATTGTTTGTTAATACTTGTTTATAATCTAAATTGTTTATTTCAAACCTTAATACGATAATGTTTACTCCAGCTGTTACACTCTCAAATAACAATATTGTATGGCGTAAGTGATATTTGCATATTAATCTAAGGCAATTTACTGATTAAACGAATTAAAAATCATGTCAACAGAGATAAAGATGATAAAAGTTCAATCAATCTCACAATTAGAAAACCCAATTAATTCGTAAGGCATTTTGACGAATGTTCTGATGATTTATTTTGAAACAAAACTTAAGTAAGTAAGTCAAAAATGGATTTTATATTTGGATAAGTTCGATTAAACAGGATTAATTGTTATCACTTCTCAGTAGATGATTTATCAGATGTTTGTCAATTATTTTCAGATTTAAAGAAGGTCAAAATGAAATCAACGTCAATGAAGGTGATAATTTGATTTTTATCTGTCCACCAAATCGAACATTTTCTCAATCACTTTATTGGGTATGATCACAATTTATACAAAGTAATATATATATATATATATATATATATATGTGAATTTTCATTGATATATACACCTGATTATGATAAAAAAATCATTCTCATGACTTAATTCAAATCTGTCATTAGTGTATCTATGGTGATACCAGCAAAGATTTACAAGAGAATAGGAAAATATTATCCGATATATAACACGTTTCTATTGACCTCTTACTTGACTGTGCGATAAGTTTTTGGAAAACTGTCTTTTTTAAAGTTACAATCCTTGTTAGTCATTTATAACTACCATTACTAATTACTCAGTTTTGTAAACACACTAAAATTTAATCATCATTTAGATTTTCATATCATTAATAGAAATATCATACAGTAAAGAACTTAGCCTAATTTTATTTCAGTGTCATTTCCTGCTAACCCTGATTATAACAATTAAATAAAGACTATCTTGTTTGAAAACAAAATCTAATCTGTCAAAGTAATGACTACTTAAGTGAGTTAACTTTTTTACAATCTCTACATAAACTATATGATTAAACGAAAATCACTGATTTTGTAACAACAGTAAAACATTTTCAGTATAAGGTTGTGGAGTTTAAGTTCTGGGTTCGAATCTCGCAAACAAGATCGTGGATGCGCACTGCTAAAGAGTCACACAATAGAACGAAACGGCCATCCAGTGCTTCCAGATTTTTATTGGTTCTTTAACATCAATCAATTCATGATTTTAACCAAAAACAGAATTCTTATAAAATATTTTGTTCATTTAACTATTAAACAAATGTCAGTGATCATAATCAAATTGTTAATTATGTCTTCGTCAATACGATGGAAGAATTTATCATATGAACATATTATTCTAATATTCCATTCACTTAATCTCAACCAATTGACAGATTTCTATTATTTTACAGTTTTTTTAGTTGATAAGCTTAAAATACACAACACAAACTATTAGATACACGATATTACTTAAAAATATTGCCTTAGAGTTCATAGTATTTAAAAAAAAATGAAAGGATTCACGTTTGAATTGCTTGTTTGTGGTCATAATATAATTTGCTCGAGAAATAAATCCTCATCACCAAGTTTATTTTCAAGTTTTTACATATAAATTTATACATTAATCCCGGTACTATGTAGAGATAACAAAACGTAAAACCACAAGTTATCTATAAAGTCAAACTTTTGATAGTTTCTTATAGTGTTCCGAGCAAAAACGGAGTTAGAAAATAGCATGTATACTGATGGGGAACAAGACGGATATAGCTTCAATTGTATGAAATAACAATTTTGTCATCTTATTTTGATCATTATTTGAATAGACTATTTACAACATTAGTAAATCTAATGAAAAACCTTAATGATTTAAAATCTATATTTACTGTTTGTTTTCTTGTTAATAATTTTTTTTTACTCATAGACAAATGATTCACGAGTAACAATAAAATGCAATCGAACTTTACCGATTAAAGTAATTAAACTTTTAGATTGTTTCGGTGATAATTATGCAACGGAATTTATACTCAAAATTAGTAGATTTCATGAAATTTCATCTCTTCCAGTATTTCATCATGAATTGCCTATTCATTTTGTAGGTAAGTTATTAAATATCATTACTCAATTGAAAGTTTCAATTAAAATAATTAAATCAGTTTTCTTTAGATTTTTTGATTAATCGATACTAGAATACTTTCTCTAGTCATTAAAACTGTTTTCGTTAAAAATACTGTCATTATGTCAACAAATAGAGGTATACAGAAATATGTTTACATATAACATATGAAAGCTATAATAGCGCTTGATCAACTTAAACGAATCATGCTTATTATTATTAAATTCATTTGTTTTATTTTTTTTATACTGTGTATTTTATTTATAGCTCAATCGGTTATTTGTCAAAACAGTAACTTCCGCCTAAGTGTTAAGCTGGCGTCAACATATAGGACCACAAGCACAGATAACGTTTCCAATGGTTCCGTAACATATATCAAAAAGTCTAACTTGACAGATCATTATGAAAAATGTAAGTTATTAATTATAATTTGCCTCTCTACACAGAATCCGTATATAAATGTATAACTGCGTTTTACAATATGATTTATCACGTTCTATCGTAGATATATTGAAAAATTTATTACGAGCATTCTGCTAAACACAAACTAGTTTTCATAGAAATTTACCTTAGTAATGAGAAAGTTTCCCATAAATCTTTGTTTTCCATCCTTTCACAAACTATAGAAACTTAACTAAGTAACGTGCTGTAGAGATAATCAGCTTACAATGTAGCTTCATAATAACTCTTCTCTATTGGTTTATTCTTGTTACTTCAAACAAACTTGAATAACTTAAATTATGAACCATTGTCCAGTCACATATCGATAAATATGATGTTTCAGTGGAAGAGATGAATTGTTATGTATTTGATAAGAATGAGTTTTGGGTTACAATAATATGTAAATAAATAGAAAATTTTAATTATATGATCTTCAATTACTCAATGTTTCATTCAATAAATCAGAAAAGATGGATATAAATGAGTTAAGGAACATGGTGGCACTGTACTTTTCATATCGTATTATCAATCCAAACTCCGCCTGGAGTCCCTCCGGGGGCTACTGCCGGTCCCAAGCCCGGATAAAGGAGGACGGTTGGGCATGGGGTTAGCGTCCCCATCCCGTAGAAAACTAACTCGCTTAAAAAACGCTAAAAAAACATTATCAGTCAAGTTAGTATTATATATTATGCAAATTGAATAATTTACAAATGAAAACCTAACAAAAAATTGGGTTGCAATACCAAGAGAGAGTGAAAGAACTTTAATCAATGAATATCATCAAAACGGATATTCTATGTTATGTTTTTAAGCGTTATTCAAAATATTATTCACTTAGTGGTTACATAATGTTATTGAGGTATTATTTCAAAGAGCTGTGTACATCAGTAGATATTGACCATAACAAGACACTTAAAAATTATTACGAATGTTGTTCAATATGCCTGGTGTTTTTAAATTTAATGGTAAACCATTTTATTTTATCTAATTGTTTTTTTTCTCAATAGCTCCTACCTCAAATAAATCATCCTATTTTCATATTAAACGGAAAATTGCAAAATTTGTCTCTAATCTCTCTACGAATTCACATTTAAATCATGACTTTACTAGTACAGATCAAACAACCTGGAAAGAATATCGTTTTCTTATTTTACCAGCAACATTAGCTTTTTTTACATTAATTGGAATGCAGATTGTTTTTTGTAGTTTTTGGTTACCTATTTCAGTGATCAATAAATTCTTTAAACATTTTCGACAATGTAAACCTTTAGAAAAATTGAAATCACAATCTAATCAGAAAATTGAACAAAATGAAACAAAAACAATAATCGTTTGCAAAGAAAATTATAAAAATCAAAATTTATGTTGGAGTATACCGACTCAAAGATCAATGAATTCTTGTACAATATATTCAGTGAAAAAGTCATTTTCGAATTGTAATCCATATATTACTTCTTATAATCAATCAAATGATTGTAAATTATTAAATCAAAGTTATCAAACTAATTGTCATAATGAAAATGATCAATTTCAATTGTTAATACCAAAGAAATCATTAATAGATCATTATGATTATTGTAATCAAACAGATTTATATGAAAATCCAAATGTATTATGTAATTGTTCCTATCATCAGCATCAACAAATTATTATGAAATTAAATAAAAATCATACAAATATTTTACCGATTTTTATTTCATCTAATATGAAATGACAGAAAAAGTTTACAACGAAATAAACTATATCAGAATTGACTTAAACATTAAGGAACAATTGATTTTGGTATTATGATTATCATTATTATTATTAGTAGTAGTAGTAGTGTGGTGTGGGTTACTTATATCCATATAAGTAGTATATAACGGTGATCAAGCATAGAATGTATTTCGGTGGAAGATTGATAAGGAAGGAACGGAAACGGAACATAGTTGGCATGATAATGCATAAACAATTAAATCTGAGACAATGAACCGATATTTGCAAAAGAAACAGTCAAGTTTGAAACGGTGGATTGATATTTTGTAAATTAACTATTTACAATATGGTTCTCAGATTTTAGTGAGATGCTCTGTAATTTCGTGTCAAATAATTCGATTGTCCTCACCTGTTCTTGTTTACTACAGTAGTATGTGTAACAAAGATTACTATTTCTTTTTAAATATTAACTGTATAATAATAATAATAATCGATATAAAAATCAAATGCCTTTTATTGTTCAGTACACAAAAGAAACTATTGTGTTACTGACCTTCAGAGTACTTTTTTCTTTCTTTTCTTTTTTTTCTTTTCCAAACAATATAAAACTATAGTTTAGTTAATTTTACAAAATTACAAGATGAAAGACCAAATCAAATATGCCAATTATCAAAAAAATTGAGGGAATTATTTCACTTTGATGTAACTTTCTTATTTATCTTTAATATAGTACTGTATATTTATAATATTAATGAAAGAAAAAAACAAAAATAAACTAACATTCAACTTTTCAATTCATCTATTTATACTTGTTTATAGTGTTTTGCAGTAAACCAAAAGAAAGAAAGAAGAAAAAAATACGAATAGAGGAGTATACGTTTTTTGTTGTTGCGTCATCACATGTTTTCTTTTATTTTCTTTTTCTTTTTTCTTGATGTTTCATTCAAATAATGTTTCATTTTTAATGAATACAAACATCTTATTGATATAGAATTGTTGAAAGTTTATAATGTATATCTTTCTGTATTTGTGTTACGGCCAATATTCATTAGATAAATCGATTTTTAACTTAAATTAAAATAAAATAGTCCATTGTGTAAAAAAGAAAAATTTAAAAAAATAGAAAAAATAAATGAAATATGTGAAAGTAAAAAAAATTATCGATTTTATGGATAAAGATTTTCCTGATGGTTTAAATTGTATAAATATTTCAATGAAATGTTATTGAGTTTATTTGTTTTAATGTTTACTAATTAATAGAAATAGGTAACGTCTATAAATCATTATTGATTGATTTTGGATTTAATCTTTATCAATTAAATTACCATATTGTGATTTAGCATAACATATATATATATATATATATATATATATATCAGTGAACAATATTGTTTTCGATTGGATGATTGAACGAATCAATGCAGTTTATGAGTTAATGATAATAGTGAAATAGATTACATAAATAAACATAATAATTGGAAGGTACAAATTGGTAGTGTAAGGACAAGTGTATTAGTTGTGATGAAAATAATAAAGACTTAAATCAATATTACATAATGAGAAATAGGTAAATGATTTGAAAAATATAGACACTGAAGTAACATTCATAAGGATTACAAGACTATGTAATAAGAAGTCTTCAGATAATTGAACCGGAAATCGTATATTTGAGAGGAAAAACAAAATGGTAGGAGGGGGTGAAGAAAAATAAACGAAGAGAGAGTCTGAAAAATAATAATAAGTAAAATCACTTATTAAGACCAAGGAAGAGATAAGGGTGTTACCGATTTCTTATGAACACAATGACTTGGATTGTTGGCTCGAAGTACTATAGCTTCAGCTATGTATAGAAGACGAGGTCAAAAAGCATAAGAAACACTAGTAGGAATAGCATAAATAACTTTAAATGACTTATTTCTGTCTACTATATGACCGCTATCGATCAAGTTTGATAGAACCGAGCTGCGTATTGTCTTTACAGTACCTTTTCTTAACCACGAAGGGAGGTGTTTACTAACTCTTTGGTTCAGTTTTCTGGTACTGCGCTCAATATAGCTTTCTCCACAAGTCCAGGTGAATTCGTAGATACACATAGAAGTGGACTAACCATGTATTCTATTCTACTGTTATCTTTGACTCATAAACTGCCTTGATTGGTCTAATGATTTCAGATATACATATAAATATTATATTAAAGTCTGTTGAGAATCTTATCGAAAACAATATTGTTCGCTTGTATATGTTGTTCTAAATACTTTTAATCAGAATGATTGATACTACTTTCCAGTCGGAAACGAAAAGTATTGAGTCACTAGTTTTGAGCATAAAAAAAACAATTTGAGTAACATTTTATATTAACATACACTCATAGAAAAAAATCTTGACTAATCAATTCAATCGTTAATTTCAATTCATAATTGTATAATTTGATAAAGATTTAATAAGGATGATTTTATTTATTTATACATATTTTGTGTTGTGTATCATACCAAATAAGAATGCAGAATCAATTTTACTACTCATATAATTAATCTTTGATTTATTGAAGATTTTCTTTGGAGTTTTCCAAAATTATATAAATGACATCATAAGATAATTACACTATAATTTAATATCTTTTCCTAATAAATCTGTTATATTTGGTCGTCGCTGTGCCGGAAAAACGCTGATCACTTATATTCAGAACGAGAGACCTCTGCAATTCCCACCATGCGAAAGTAAGAACACAAAGACTGGTATAAGTGAAGATTTATTAGCCCCAAACACTATGACGACGACGAATGAATATAGTCTAAAATACACTGGTTTATATATTGATGGTACACCTATTTTGATTAATAAGTAGGATTAAATCAAATACTCAGTTATAACAAATCCCATTCTGAGCATATTTCATGTCAAGTGAATACAAGAATATCGTATATAATACAGAAGAAAATATCATACTGGGAAAACAATCAAATACTACACTGAATGATCATCATATTGAATTAGAAGGGAAGTAATCTTAAACAAAACTCATAATGAGTAAATCAACAGAAAACTGACTTCTCTTTCCATTATATCAAAATCAATATCATATTACTGTAAGGTATTGAAATAATAATGAAGCTATACAATGACAGTGTAATTTGAGATATATATTCAGTATAGTCTCTGGACCTTCGTAATGTAATTATTAATTAATGAATAACTTTACAAACAATATCAATAGGATTATGATTCATTCTACATTTGAAGTCAGTTACCTTTATTCTTGATCAATTTTTAAAATAAAACGTAACTATGAGGTAATTTACAAGACAAACGAACAAACAAACAAACAGACAAGCACAATTCACATAAAACTATTTCATTTACTTGATTTTATCAGTTTGATTGTTTATCTCGCAATTTCATTGACTTGAAAGGCAAATAAATCGGTTAAAAGAAGTAAATAATAAAGTAGAATTAAATTTTTTTTCATTAAAAAAACGTAATAAATTTTGTGTCCAATCTATTTTTTTTGTAATAATTAACTCATAAATTACTTTGGTTGTTTACATATTTTCACATGTCCATATAAATATCCATATATTATAGAATAAAGGATCTAACTGAAAACAATATTGTTTGGTTATACATGTTGATCTAATTAGATAACTAATAAAACTAAGAATTATTTCCATTGAAACTTTTCAAGTATTCGTCTTTCTTTTCTTGCCTATCAAGATGGATTGTACATATTTCAACTGAATATGTTCCATATGAAAAAAAGTAATTAATAATAGCTAAGTCACCTGAATGAATAGTTAGTTGATTTAGTTACTAGAATAGAATGAATTCAGGTTTGATGCTTTATCATGCAATCGTTGGTTATGTTTCTTGGTTTAGAATCATTTGAATAATGTTTCTAATAGAAAAAATAAGTAATTACTAAAAAAAATCACTTTCATCGTATATTTCGACTGAAATAATTTAATAAAACATTATTTAGAACATTACGGTGAAGGTAATATCAGTATTGATTTCTCAATTTTTCGACTCTGATAATAATGAAATTACTGCGATACGGTATTCAGTTATGGAAGTCGAGTTTAATTTCCTAACGATTTCAACCCAAAAATGTTTCAGACACATGTATATTTATAGTGGACCTGTGTCACGTGCCTGAAACAGAGTAAATAAACCTCGCGGTAACTGCTAAATAATATATATATATATATATATATATATATGTTCATAATAGATAATTTGGTTCGTCAATCACACTGATGCCTCCTCCTGTAAACTTATGGATATTACTATGACTACTTATCGTTCCCCAGGGTGAGCTAAATTGGTAATCATTCATAATGTTTTTTAAACGCACAGAAAATGCAAGAATAATTTATTGTAAATATGTCTATCATTCGTTGAAAAACTGTGATCATTCTCTCTCTCTCTCCATATATATATATATATATATATATATATGATGAAACTCTCATTCTAAACTATCATATTCATCTCAGATGTATGCGATTACCGAATGTTCTTATGTAAGAAAAATGATTTTGCATTTTCATTTACTGTAACAGTTGGTTAAAAGAAATATTTTCAAGCTAATATGTATAAACATGTGCTTAGATTTCCCAAGGTTCATTTAAGGCATACTTTATTCAACATAATTCTATTTTATTTGTGATTATGATTTTGAATAAATTTAAATATTTTTATTAAAATCATTAGCCAAAATTTGACAATGGCTAGCAGTGGAATTGACGACACGCATTTCGTGATAGTTGGGATTCGTTAGATGGATGTACCTGTTACATGACTGTTTTATAAGCTGGTGATTATTTGGAATCAGTAGCGAAGTGGGTAGAGCGTTGAGCGTTAGAAGAAAAAAAGTGTTGAGTTTGAATCTCGATTTCAGTTGCTTCCAGTTGACGAGTTTCTAATGGAAAGAAATGCCAATCTTGGATCTCAATGCTAGCAACTACCAAATTTTTTCTAAAATCTCTCGTGACTAATTATCTATATTGAGTTAGTTCATTT